ATCGTACCGCTACCCATGCCGGGGCAGAAGCTGATTGGCTCAATGGACATAGCTAAACACGCATTTTTTACCCGAAATCTGTTGTACTAGACTTCTGCTTTTGCCTTTTTCTTGTCGTGTTCTTCCTTGGGGGACTCACGCAAGGCGTAATTAGGCGGTGACATCTCGGCCTTGGCTACCGTTACAACAGGAAGCAAGCGCAATATCTTGCGCGCAGTTTAGGTTTAAGTGACAGAAACCTGCGACGCATCTACCGCACTTTCTCCCTCACCCCTCACCCGCCTGTTCCCGGTGTCATGTGAGGGTTAAGTATACCGGCGACAGAGTCGGACACTGGTGGCTGGCTTGACGAACTGCAACCCAAGTGTACCACCACGCTCCTCGGTCTATGACAAAACTCGACCAGTATGCAGTAGAATAGTCGATGTATCCTGAATGTTGCTCTCAGAAGAGGAAGCATTATTTTTTGTTGAAGTTTTGGAACTACCAAGGGCCTTTCCATTGGATAATGATAAGGTGCTGTGCGTTTAATTATAGAGAGCGCCTGACGAAGAGGGTTAGAAATTTATGAACATGAGAGAACGCTGGTTGTGCTTGCGAAATTCTAGGAAAAATTGTAGTTTCTGAATACCGAAGAAAGCCTACTTTTCCTAATTAACAACTTCTCAGGAAGTCCAGGTTCCTGGAAGATAGACATCAAAATATGTCCACGTCGATATCTTTTTAAATACGTTGGCTTTTTGTGTGTCTAAGCAATCAGTGTAACAAGGTACACACTACTAACGTTGAAACTGTTGGCTAAATTTTATTAACCTAGACGCTTAAAAAAATTCTTAACCGAGACCTCGTACACTACCAAGTGGCACATTGTCTTCACTTATTTCTCGCGCTATAAAGTACATCAGTTCCATTCTCATAGTTTCTTCACTAGACTGCATAATTTCACGCTTCGTTTCTTGGTTCACGAGTCTCGCACACGATCTGTGATGGGATTCATTAGTAGTCTCCTGGCTGTAAACTGTTTGACAAGTCCTTTACAAGGAAAGCAGATAACCTGCCACATTTTTCTTTGTGTGACCTTTTAGTAGGAGTGATGCGCTGCTTCCTGTGCCAAGGAAACTGGGTGTCCGGCATTGATTTACCACTGGATCACAGCAGTCTAAGTTTCGCCCTCGCCGCTTTGGCCATTTTCTCTGTTCCATTTCTATACGCTGTCTGTCTTGGTCTCGGCTATGTAGCTCTTCAGTCGGCCATGAATGAAACACTGTCTCGGGGCTGTAAATGGACACCCGGCAAGTTCCTAGCCATTTGATTCTAATAAACACAACTTATTTACGTGCGCATACATTGTTTTTGCTTTTTATAGACAAGTTGTCCACCAGTACACCTACAAAATACCCCTCCTTATTTAATACAGTTTATTTTTGTGCATTCTAAAGGCCCAGTTTCCCTAGTGATTCCTGTGTTTTTCTACGGTCGCAAGGGGCTCATTTTCCATTTTGTCGCGACTCTTTTGCTGACAGTGATTTCCTGCTCCAACTTTGTTTGCGGTGGAAGTTCCATCCTTATTCACGATGTTTTGGAAATCTACGTCAAGGTAGGAAAGTTGGAAATGTGTGTATTTGTTTGAAAACGCCAAACTTCACGGAAAAATGCATTTCTTAAATCTTTTCGGTTAAAACAGTTCTGGTAGGCAATTCTGGCAGGCCGAAATGTTTACCCCAACTATTTTGATAGCAGTTCAGCTCTGGATGGATTAGGTAACTGAGAGTTTGTATGATTGCTTCCGTTTTACCCAAGTATGAGCCATAAAATAAAAGAACATCGTGTGTGCTTTGGAGTTGTCCTCAACTGTAGAGGCCGAGACAGAGCAGTTCATAGCATTCCTTCATACGAGGTTCTCAACTCGGAACACAAGCCCGAGGCCAGTCTCCAGAAATACTATTTTTAATACAATAAAGAAGTTGTAACTTACCATAATAACAGCCTAGGTACCACCTAAAAGGCCCACACACGTGTTTTACTGGTATTTTGCCCTAACTAGGCCCTTTAGCTAGTACCTAAGTTGTTAGTATGGTAAGGTACGACATCAATATATACTACTATAGTCTGTCTGTTGGCAGCAAGTGCATATTTCACAGTGGCTGACGGATTTCAGCCCAAATATACGCTTATAATTTCGGTCTACGCTTATAGACCATAAATATACTGATGTATACCGCAAACGGAATTTAATTTCTCAGGAGCTGAAAAAGCTTAACAATATAGGAGGTTAAAATAACTCGAAAATGTCAAAATAAAAGCAGTGTCAGAGAGAAAGCTATTATGAAGCTATTATAAAGGTATTATTATCTTCCCAAAGGCATTATTTTTCATACTTTTTAAGTCAGTTTGTTGATTATTTATCCCAATAACCATTACGCAGTTGCTAATTAATGGTGTTCAGCAGGCTTTTGGTTTCAGATGGCTTTATTCCCAGTGATGACTACACTTTTTACTCTTTTTATTTAGCCATACAAAAAATTGTCCAGTACAAATGAATGCCTCCTATGTGGAAAACAACGAGGCCAATTCTCCGGAGAACATACCACCT